AACTTGGGTGAACATTCAAGAGGATGTCTAATTTCTTCACTCATAAAAGTATTATTCTGTCTTAATTCAGAACGATCACTAAGTTCAGGTGACTTGTTTGATTAGCTTATATAAATTGGTTAAATAATGTAAATGTGTTAGAACAAGATATTGTACAGTTTAAAATGTATCCTATGTTTGCCCTGAAAAGTAGTTACGGAAGCCTTTGTTGAGGCACAATTCTTTTATTGAATAGTTTTTTCCCCTGTCCCAATTTTGTTGTTGTTGTTGTTGTTGTTTGCTTGCGCAAAGGTCTTACTAACGTGAATGGGAAGCCTCTTTTCAGTTAGATTTGTTTATGATAAATCCTCTGAATGGGGCTGTTCACCCACTTAGCTTTATTAGCACATTAGGAGATTAAGATGGGGTCATATATTTGATTTCATAAATCACATTGCAATCCTGGGCCAATTCCCCTTCTGACATGAAGTATTGACTATGGACCTCCAGATAGGGAATTCTTATTAAACAGTTGCTTGCATGTTGAGGCATCAAGTAGTCTACTGATTACATGTAATAACATAGCATGGCTGAATTTCCTATTTAATTTTCCTGAAAGTGGTAGCAGAGATAACCCAGAACTCTGTGTCAAAGTCAAGGTTGTTGCTCTGTGGTTCATGCTACATACTTTTTGCTTATTCATCATTAACAGTACTCATTGATAGTTTATCCATGAATCAATTAATGAACTACACATAACAAAAGTCTCTTGCATGGTGCTTATTGGGTTGTGTAAGGTTGATTTGTTAGTATCTAATATCCTTTCAAGCTTTTTAAAAGTTGCAAACTATTGCTACATTATTAAAAATACAAACTGAAACAGAGTTAGACTTTGCAAAAGCTTTTCAGGGACTCTAGGGTAAATTATATTCAATTTAGGTTTCCTAGATCCAAGCTGTTCTATGCTATCCACTGAAACACTCTTTCCTTGGGTTAATTTTAAGCATACTACTTGATAACAGCAAATAACTTCCTGTGAATGCAATCTAGCACTCGTCTATTGAGAGGTAAGCCCTGGAACTTCAGTAAGAAATTGTTCCTAGGAAAATGTATGTAGTCTGAATTTCCTGTCTTGGCTAATCAGAATGCGAACACAAAGATAAAACTAAATGATGTATTTATCCTTGCAGTCTTCTACTGAGGAAGTTAAAATATTAATGCAAATTATTTCATTTTTCCAAGATTGTGATTATGCAACTTTGTCTTATTCAATTAGGCTGAAAAATACTGGTTATATGAAAGTAACACTTCCTGTGACATGTGAATATCTAATTGAGGGAAGTTTTTATTGTGATGACTTATAAGGGGAGGGAAAGGTAAATAAAGATTTTTTTTTCAATTGTGCAATTAACATTGAGAAACCAACAGATGACGACAGAAGAGACTTACATCCACATCCTTTCCTTTTGCTTCTATTCTTTAATCACCTAAGAAGCAGAGCATTGACAGAGGTACTCTGCTCATTCTAAGAATACTGAACTTTAAAATTCTATATATCTGATATGTGGGAACTTGGAGATACCTTTGAAAAATAAATTTACTACACAAAGAGTTTGTTCTTATATTAGTAAAGCCCTCAGTTGCTGAAGGAACTGCTGTACTGTATTCTGTACATTCCTTTGAGAGGCTTGTTGCAGCATTGTTGTGGTGAAGCCATGGTAACACAAAGAATAAAAATGTCAATAGGCAGAATCAAGCTATGAGTGAAAATGGCCTACAGGAAAAATAGTTTTGCAATCAAATTGCTAAAACTGCTAAGATCTTTTGGAGCTCTTGTAGATGGTGACTTTTTTGTTAACTTTTCATTCTCAGTGAATTTGCCACTGTGACTTTAACATGGATACATATGTTGAGGCCAGTTGTGACTTTCATGTCTGCCTTATATGCTTTCTACAAATTATTGGTGGTTTTTTCTTGTAGTTTAGTTTTAGTGTAAAAGCTTTTTTGAATATTAGGTACGCACATATGCACACATTTTTAGAATGGAGCACCATTTCTTGCGGTGCTGAATTTATCACACAGAGCATCATTTCGAATCTTTACGAAAAGGTGAAATAGATAACAAAGGTTGCTTATATATTAACCAAGCATGAATGTCAATTACCAAGAGATGTAACCAGATATTTCTTCAAACTTTGGAGAGGATAGAAAGCCATGTCTATCTTCTAGTTTTAAAGAGTCAGGTACCTTTTTATATTGGGATAGGAGAAATTACTGTACGTGTACTTGGCCCAACTCTGTCTCCTTGCATTTCCGCATTTCTTCTTAGGCCTGATTATCAAAGAGAAAGCATGGATAAGGAAAATTGGAAGGGGAGAGGGAGTACTGATGGGCAGCCATTGTATTGTTGTCTTTTGCTTACAAAAGAAGACATTATGCAAGTAGTAAAAGGGCCTGTTCAGCCTCTTAATTTTATAGCTGTTTAGGGCACGTGTAGGCAATGTATAGGCCTCTGGATGTTGCTGAACTCCCAATTAGCCTCAGCCAACTTGGCCAGTAATGAAGTACGTTGAAAATTGTAGCTTAAGAACTTCTGGTGGACTGTATCTTGCTCACATTAGCTTTAAGGCCAGAAAGGAGAATGGCCAATCGCTCTGTCAAAGGACAATAGACATCCTTCTTATCAAAGGTCACAGCACTTAATATGGGATAAAAGATCTTAAAACAGTTTGCACCTTCCAACAGTGCAATCTCTCCGTCTGATTATATGGTAAATTTGCTTCTAAGAGACCAGGGCATAGGTTAATAGTTAGACTGGTTGAATGCTTCATTTATTTTATGAAATATATTTATGTAACAACTATAACGGCCCTTCTTTCTTCCTGTTTCTTAGTAGTTCTTCAACATTCCTCTGAAACGAACAATCTTTAAAATGAATTTTGTTGATGAAACAACTAAACCAATGCTCTCTTCAACCTACCAAAGTGTTAGATTTTAATGAAAGACTTACTTAAAACATATCCTACTGATTTCTGTTGACATGATTATGTCTGGATACAAGCCAAAGTACTTTCTTATAAAAGTCCAGAATATATGCTTTTTTAATATTATCATTTTGATGATTACTTCTAAACAGGCAAAAATCAGTTACATTGAAAGCAGCTACAGTGGCTGTATCAATGTGTGTTAAATTGCCAATATTTACACAATTGGTTATTAAGATTAAAGTAAGCTGTGTTCTTAATTAGATGTTACATTTGGGACTACGTGGTCATTAAACATGTTTTTAAACTTTTTTTTTTTTTTTACAAAATGTTTTTAAAATAAGATTCTGGGTAAAGTTTTAGCATCTCTACAGGGGAGTGCTTCTCTAACAAAATGAAAGAACAAACTAAGATAAACTGTCCCCTTTTGTTGCCTTTAAAATAGCTAACTCTTCTAATTAGTACTTGAAAGACAAACACTCTGAACAATGATCTTGTTGACTTACACTCTGCAGGGTGATCTGAATTTGGCCAGGACAAACCCATTCTTGTTTTTAATTTTAACAATTCCCAGTTTAGCTGCCTTTTTTTCTTAGCTCTTTAGCATATTTATGGGCCTGTACTTGGCTGTAGATCACAGATCCCAGTGAGCTGTGGAAGTCTCCTGAGACAGATTTTAGAAAATTTGTTTGGCTCAGATTTTATTTGTATTTATTTTTAATTAAACTGAATGCAACAGGCATTCATGTGGAATTTGCCATTGGTTAGATAATGCAGTGCAGAATTGCAGTGCAGTCTGGCTTCTGTATTTGTAGTTCTAAAATATTTTACATATTCTCCTTCATTTTGATCTGGTTCCACATTACAAAAAATAATTAGCATGTGTTCCAAGTAGGGGGGAAGATTATACTGGGGAATAGATGGAATGTCAAATTGAGCCCCTGGATGTTGACAGTGATTTTTAATGAAAAAGATAACTACCCTAAATTGATAACTCAGTTTGGCAGCTTGTAGTTGAAGCATCTCTGTTCCATAGTTTATATAAACCTGGACTTCCTATCTCATTTACCTGCTTAGTTCTCTTGTTGAAGCAGTGCTTTAATTTGATTTGTAACTCTTGAATTTATGGTCTTTTCCTTATAATTTGGAGACTTCTTGTTCTTTTTGGTTAATATTTTAGAATTTATATACAGGTAGTCCTCGACTTACAGCGATTGGGACCAGAATTTCTGTTGCTAAGCAATGCCGTCATAAACCCCTGCATTGCTTAGCGGCAGCAATCCCTGAAGTTCCGGTTGCCGTCGTTAACTGAATCCCACAGCTATTAGACGAGGCAACTTCCTGTCAGCTTCCTGCAGCCAAAGTCAGTGGGGAAGCTGGCAGGAAGTTGCAAGTCCCAGGCCAGCAGGCAGGTAAGTAGCTGCTGCCAGGTGAGGGAGGAGTGAGGGGATGCGCGGGAGGGTGCATGAGGATGCAAGGGTATGCGTGAGAGGCATGGCACAGGTCGGGGGTATACGAGAGCTGTGGCAAGGGTGTGAGGGAGGCACATCGATGATCGGGGAGGGTGTGCAAGTGGGAGGGTGGGAGAGGGCACATGGGTGGGGGAGACTTACCCCAGCAACTTGCTACCTTCCTTGCTGGCTTTCCGACTGACTTTCTGGGGAAACCAGCAGGGAAGTTTGCAAATGGTGATCATGGGGCACTGCAACCGGTCATAAGTACAAACCAGTTGCCAGGCACCCAGATCGCGATCACGTAACTGTGGGGGTGCTGGCACAGCCAGAACTCCGAGGACCAGTCATAACCACCATTTGTTCAGTGCCATCATAACTTCGAATGGCCGCTGAACGAATGGTTGTAGGTCATGGACTACCTGCATTGGCTTTAAAGAACAGCATAATATTTTGCATTTACTCACTGTTTTTTATTGCTTGCCTGCAAAATTGAAACTACTAAACATGCTTTATTGTTTTAATATAAATATGGTTAACATTTGGTTTTTAATATGTTAAGTAACATTGTATATTTCTTTTTTAGGATCCAGTGGTCACAATTCAAAGGCTATTTTATTTTCAAATTGGAGAAAGTAATGGATGACTTCAGAACTTCTGCTCCTGAGCCAAGAGGCCCTCCTAACCCCAATGTGGAATATATTCCCTTTGAGGAGATGAAAGAACGAATTCTGAAAATAGTTACTGGCTTTAATGGGTATGCAGTCTTATATCAATAACTTGTTATTTAGATCACTTGATTTATCATCAAATTCAGGATTCTGTTTTGATCTTCATATTGTATTGATTTTCTGCCATGTCTGCAACATGAATAATGGGTATAAATAAATGTTTGTTGACAAAGTTCTAACTCTTATGACAAACATTCTGAATTGTACTTTTATATGAAAATCACTTGCTTATCTTCTCTTAGTTCAGATTATGCAAGAGCTGTTGTATTCCAAATTCTAGTGGACATGAATGCAGAATATCTATTTGAGCTTCTATTTATATCAAATATGGTGTTGTAGGTCTGACCCTGGATGCTTTTAGTTGTTCTTTAAAAACTTGGATTTTTCTCCAAGCTGTGGTTGGTGGTGTTCCCGTTTGATGGTTTTGTTTTTGTTTGTTTTTTTGTTAACCAGTGAAGTTCAAAATATACTTCTGAAATTGCATTCTTAATTTTTTAACAGAATTGTTTAAGATTTACATAGATAAACCATGTTGAAGGCATAACATTGGCTGTATGTTAATTGTTTTCAGAAATCAGGTGCTAGATCACAGATTGCACATCTTTTTTCCTTGGCTATTGTTAAGTCGCTTGTGGTAGCTATATGAACTGCTTTTTAAATTAGACAGGATGTTTTGCACTATCTGAAATCATACTTAAACCATGGATTCTAATCCTGTTTAGAATTACTGTTGGGATAGTGAGTAGCTTAATTGGGGAGGCGCACTAAGGGAAATACTGTAATGAATTTCCAAAGCGGGTTCCTGAGATAGAGCTGATAAGAATAAAGGTTTGATTCCCTAAGTTAATTCCCTAATAATTTGTGGAATCAGAGTCTCTTCCAGCCCAACCTTATTTGTTAGCTGTAATTCATTATCATATGTTCATTTGATTCATATTGGTTAGTTTTCTTGTGGCAGACAGATGTCTATTACAGTTAAAAGAAGTTAATTTTAGTCCAGTTTTGTCTAATTTTAGAAATCCTCGTTTGTACAAAGGTTTTGAATTCTTGCATCATGCTTGGATTTTAAGACAATGCATTAATTGAATTCTGAAACTACAGTATTATCCACTGTTACTAAATTGAAGATTAGTTTTTAAGGGATCATCATCATCATCTACAATTTAAAAACTCAGCTTTCTGCAGTGTTCAAAAATTGTATAGTAGATCATGCAAGAAGGGATTTTTTTCAACTTTATCTTAGAAGCTTTCTCCTCCAGAGAGCAGATTCTGCCTATAGTATTATTCAGTGGGGATAAAGTTTGCACTTATGAACCATTGACACTTGATAAGGATGTTTTAATACCACAACACTATACATAAAGGATTTTGAAAATGTTGAAATGAGTAGATAGGAGATGCCTCTGCTGAACTGAACAAGAGATATGAATAAGGAGGCTGATTAAAATGGCAGGTTATTTTTGTTTAATCAACAATTAAAATCACATAGTTCTGACATTAGCAATATGCAGCCTATCATGGTCCTTCCAACTAATCAAACTGCCTACTCTGCTCTGTTATTAGTATATTAATCATCCACTGAAAATAGCTATAATTGGTGTCCTAATTTTTAAATAGATGAGGCTTCATTTCCATTTGAAAAAGAAGCACTTATTCTATATTGTTGTATGAAAGCATGTTTTTAATGAGTAAATTTAGGTTATATCACTTCCTTGTCCTATGAAGGAATACAGAACCTGTGGACTACCAGATATTGCTGACTGTACCTCTCAGCACACACATCTGAATATCTGAAAGCCAGAGTTTCTCCGCTCCATCAACCCCTTATTAATATTTTGAACCATCCAGTAAATGATAACAATAATCAAGTGAACTTTTTGGGACTCCTTAGCCATCATAGGGCACTTAGGAGGCAAGCACAGGATTCTGTGATCCTGCAACACCACCTACTGTTTACTTAACATAATACAGTTTTAGAGGTAGTAAATGAAAAAATGTTACATGTACAGCTATAGATAAAAAATGTACCAACTGATCAGGATTATTCATTCTCTCTCATTCAGTATTCATTCAAAGTGAAAATTAACTTGTTTGAATTTGTTTCAGTATCCCATTTACTATTCAACGACTTTGTGAGCTGCTGACAGATCCTAGGCGGAATTACACAGGAACAGACAAATTTCTCAGAGGAGTAGAAAAGGTAGTGGTGAATTGTTCTTGTTCTTGAACTAAAAGTGTAGCTTTTTAGATTTGTTTAACCTTTTTAGAATTGCTATATAGTACCAACAGCAATTCTATTTCAATTGTATTTCAGTGTTGTCGTCAGTTGTTGCTTACTTAGATTATATTTGTATTTATCATATTTGATTTGCATTTATTTGACTTTTTTGATGAAGTGCATTTACTGATGCTATCTATTTCCTTGTATGCAGTAGTATGGAAGAGTGATCTGGCATGATCATCTCAAAATAGAAAGATCCTCAGAAATAATTTGTGAAAGTGTAATCTGGAGACGTGATAGTTGTTTAATGTTGTGCTACATTAGATGTTTGTAATTCCCTGCCATTGTCTGAAATAACTTCTAGGTGTAGAGCTTTAAATAGGAAAAATGCATCAGTTTTAGGCCATTTGCTTGATACAATGACAGAAATGAGGAGCAGAATGATGTAGCAGTTAAGGTTTTGACCTGTGATTGTGGAATTCACTGGATGACTTTTGGCCAGTTACTATCTTCAAGCTTAATTTATCTTGTAAATTGGTTGTTGTATAGATAAAATAATGGGATTAGCACCTAGTAGAAAAATATGATACAAATGTAAAAATATTTAATATTGCTTATGAGATTTTTTTTTCTCCTTGCATATGGGCTGAGTTGCTATAATGTTATGGAATGTGTAGAGGCATTAATTAATGACCAAAAATGGTAGACGGAAGTAAGTTGAACCAGAGATTATGGCTATAGAGAAAGCGTACTTGATAAATGGGAAGCTTAGAAAGGCCTTGCTCAGAGCCAGTTGGCAGGGAATAAGGAAGAAAAGAGATGAGGGAAGAATAAAAAGAAAATATAGTTGTGCATTACCCTTTCCTACTTTACCTTTTCCTATTTTAAAAATAGCAGGATAGAGTAGGCAGGCTGAAAAGGAAGTCTTTGAAAATAAGTGGAGGAAGACAGTGTGTGTCTATGCACACACCTTTGAGTCAGTGTTGACTCCTGGCGACTGCCTGAATCAGCAGTTTTCTTGGCAAGGTTTTTCGGAACTGGAACTGCAACTTTGCCATTGCCTCCTTCCTATGGTTCAGAGAGAGCTTGAGAAGCTGGTGAATCAGGTGCTAATAAGGACCAACAAAAGAGTACAAGACTACAAGATGAATTTGGTTGATTGTGTTACTTGTAACATTTGCTTTTACTTGTCCTGATGTTTGCTTTTTTTCCCTATCTTACAGAATGTTATGGTGGTCAGCTGTGTGTATCCTTCTTCAGAGTGAGTATGACCTTTGTTACCATTTATTTAAAAAGTGAGACTGCATCATTTTTGAGATTGCAACATTTGTAATGCATTTGTTATTGATGGTGTGTTCTGTGTTTGAAGGGGAGCAGTGGTAATAATCTTTTTCATTGCTACACAGTTTAAAGATGCATAGAAAATTTCCTGCTAACAGGTACTCTGGGACTTACCTGGATCAGCTTTATTTATTAGGAAAAAGAGTAGCAGCAAATCAGGCTTTTTTTTTTTTAAGATGCCGGAGACAGCAGATAAATGGTAATATGGGCTCGCTTTTTGATGATTGTCTTTGTATGTTAGAGGTGGTTGGATTTATGAGAGAGAAGGTTAGCAGAGACTGCTGATGTCAGAGCCTACCTGACCTGCATTGGGCTGCTTTGATAGAGGAGATTCAAACCCACAATTCACTTACAAAATGGCACAGCTTGGAGTCCAGCTTGGTCTGTTGGCAATGGAAGGAGAGAGCTGTGCTGGGCACCTGTTCTTGCCTCATCTCCCATGGACTGTTATCAAGAGTAGGAGCTGTGTTGGGACCCTTGGGTGTGTGCTGGTTTCTGATGGCTGGCATGCAGCTGCTTTGTTTTGGAGGCATTACTGGCACTTTGCTTGAAGGCGGTGGTGGAGTGCTACATTTGGAAGTAGTGCTGTTTATTCGGTGGCCAGCAGTGGAGGCATTTGGCTGGAAAGGAGCTGCTGCAGGCTGGACCGGGCTCTCACAGATGGAGGCTGCAGCACTGGATCACCAGACTGCAGCGACAGCCTGACATTTCAGCACATGATGCCGAGGACTTGCGATGACACAGCACCCTGAGGGGTTTGATTCAGACTAAACATTTTGGATGACAGGAGGCCTCTGTATGGTTTTTGGCTGCTGTTTGGTAGAGAGCTAGCAGCAGCAGAGAGCTTTTTGCCTCAGTGCTGCTGTGGGCCCCCCATGGATGTTTGGGGGGCATCTTGTCTTGTTTCCTACTCTATGCAGGAAAAGGACAGCATGGTGACCATTTTGCGGTTGTCCTTGATGCTTCTGCAAGGCTTATCATCCAGATGGCTTGTAACTGCAGAGGAGTGGTAAATGTGAGATTACCTGTCCTTCTGTAAAGGTGGCTGGCTTTCTGCAGGTGAGAGCCAGGTGGGGGGTTGTAGGAGGGAGGTGGTGTTGTTTGGATGGGTGGTGAGCTTGCCTGACCTGGCAGTGAGAGAGGCTTGGTGGGGTGGGCTGTGTGGATTGTTGGCTGATGAAGGGAGAGGAAGAAAGTTTGTTGGATTCCTTGTGGTGCTGAGAGCGAAGGCTGAAGCTTCATTCATCCCCTCCCTTGGTATGGTGGTTAGAATAGGATGATATGGGGATCCTCTGTCTTGAGTGCTGGAGGGCATGGATCAGGAGGTGGTGAGTTCTCAAGTGGGGCTTGGGGTGGGTCAAAATATTCTAGTGGTGATGGGTATGGGGAGGTATGGTGGGAGACAGGGGGCAGGCCGCTTGCAGGGAACATACTGTCAGTGCTTGGTTCTGATTTTACCCCAGTAAGAACTCTACCCCAGTACTTGGTCAACAGGCCCTTGGAGGCCTGGACTTTTGGGTGTTGCTGCTGAATGCCAGGTCAGCTTGCAATAAGGCCACCCTCATCTGCAACTTGATTGCAGAGGAGAAGGCTGACCTGGCATGTATTACCAAGACCTGGCTGGGCCCAGGAGGGGAAATGTGCCCAGCCTGATTTCAGGTGTGGCATCAACCGAGGACCCGGGGCAGGGGTGGGGGAGTGGCAGTTGTCATACGGGAGTCCTTACGTTTTTCAGGGGTGCTGCTCCACCAGTTACTGGTTGCAAGACCCTGTTCATTAAGGTGGGCTCTAGGGATCAGTTGGGAGTATTGCTATTATACCAGCCGCTGTGCTGCGTAGCAGCCTTTCTGCCTGAGCTCCTTGACTCCATTTCCGAGTTGGCAGTGGAGTTCCCCCAGCTTATGATCCTAGGGGACTTCAATCTACCTTCCTTGGGAGTGGAGTCTGAGGTGGCTCGGGAATTCATGGCCACCATGACAGCCATGGGCCTATCCCAGGTCATCCAGTGCCCAAAATGGGACAGTGGTCACACACCTGATCTGGTTTTCTTGTTGGAGCAGTGGCAGCGTGCTCTAGAATTGGGAGGAGCTCTCTGTAGCTCCCCTGTAATGGTCAGATCATGCCCTGATAACCATGGGATGTTCTGGTGCTGCCGCCCACTGCAAGGAGGCAGGACCCATTTGAATGGCCCACCCCTGGCAACTGAGGGACCCTCATTGTTTTTAATGTTTGTATTGTTTGTATGACTGTTTTATTTTATTTTATTTTTGATACTGTTTATGTTTTAATTGTAAGCCACCCAGAGTCACAAATGTGAGATGGGTGGCTATATAAATTGAATAAATAAAATAAAAAATAAATAAAAATATTGGTTCATAGGCAGCACAGCCACATTTTATAATGGTCCATCTCACTAAATGGAAGGTAGCGTGGAGCACCTTCGGACAGGATACTGCATAAGGTTAGGTTTAAACAGATTGATAGATTCTGATCATGTATGCATTGTAATTTAGGAATTTTAAATAGAAGAAATAAGTGGCAACCTACAAATAATCAATATTTGGCTGTTGGCAGGATTTTCTTTCATTTGTTGATAATGTGAAAGAGGGCCTTCTTGTGGTTGCTTCGAGACTAGTTCTCTTTCTGTCATCTTCTGCTTATTTTTATTCAGACAGGCCTTTGGTTTGACTCTGAAGGAGTTTGAATTATTTAGGTGCTGTTTTATTCTTACTGTTTTTAATTTATTTGTTTCTACTTAATTATAATCCATTTTTTAAAACTGTATTTTTATTTTTTTTGAATGCCACTTGTTGAAGGAAGTCCAAGTTATATAGTCAGTAAATAAATGATTTAAAGTAGTGGAATTTAAATGGTTGAAGTCAGCAGAATAAATTTCTACCTGGTTTTGCTGCTAGAAAGGGCTTGATATTGGAAGCAGGGAAGGCTATGTGGAATTTTATGTTATGATCCACAAGTTTGCAGAATCATGTCATCTGATGGTTTCCCCATTCTTCCCACTTGAAATAAACCTAGCTAGCATGATTCTATCTAGATGATTATGAAGTGCCTTTCTCCTCTTTAAATCAAGGTGTGGCCACAAGAATATGAAAAAAGGATACATTTTCAGTAGACGGCTAGGTTGTACCTCAAAAACGTAATTGTTAACTGCAGAGTTGGATAGAATTTTAACCTGGACTGGGGGGGGGGGG